TTAAACATTTAATTAATATTATGAATAATAATTAGAGTATTAACTGTTCTAAAATAAAAGATTATTGGCCTAGTTGTGCATTTGATAGAAATGTGTCAATTATGCCAGTTAGATGAAAGGTTAAATACCTTTGAGTAAAAGATTAATGGCCTAACTGTGCATTTGATAGAAATGTGTCAATTATGTCAATTAGATGAAAGGTTAAATACCTTTGAGTAAAAGATTAATGGCCTAGCTGTGCATTTGACAAAAAGGTGTCAATTATGCCAGTTAGATGAAAGGTTAAATACATTTGAGTAAAAGATCAATGGCCTAGCTGTGCATTTCACAGAAAGGTATCAATTATGACAGTTAGATGAAAAGTTCAATACCTTTGAGTAAAAGATAAATGACCTAGCAGTGCATTTGAGAGAAAGATGTCAATTATGCCAGTTATATGAAAGTTTAAATACCTTTGTGTAAAAGATTAATGGCCTAGCATTGCATTTGACAGAAAGGTGTCATTTATGCCAGTTCGATGAAAGGATAAATACCTTTGAGTAAAAGATTAATGGCATAGTTGTGCATTTGATAGAAAGGTATCAATTATTCCAGTTAGATGAAAGGTTAAATACCTTTGAGTAAAAGACTAAAAGCCTAATTGTGCCTTTGGCATAAAGGTGTCAATCATGCCAGTTAGATGAAAGGTTAAATACCTTTGGGTAAAAGACTAAATGTCTAATGGTGCATTTGGCAGAAAAGTGCCAATAATGCAAGTTGGATGAAGGACTAATTGTTTAATCGTGCTAATTGATATGAAAGGATGCCACAAATGAAAATGTATAACCACACATAACTGGTATGGAAGAATGCTATAAATGAATATATATATATATAACAGTGCATAGTTGGCATGAAAGGATGCCACAAATGAAAATATATAACGGTATATAAGGTGCCACTCATGATAATTATAAAAGATAAAGGACTAATTGGGAAGGATAGGTAGGTTGGACCTACTAAGAATAATTCCAATGAGTGTATAAAAGAAATCTGGTTGAACTGAGAAGGATTTATTTGATCCTTATGGAATATGTGATTTAATTCGTCATTTAATAGTCATGAGATACGTAAAAGTAAAGACTAGTCAGATACGGGGTGCAGTAGCGGCTATCATAAATCTATGGTTGACTCACATTAGTAACGGTAGGACAATCATGTTTATTTTGAAAATTGTTGGCATGTAATCAAAGTTAAGAAAAAATGCTTTGGAAAGTATATAAAGTGGAAATTTTGGTAGTATATTTCAACAACTGTTTTATGATGGTACTAAAATGTTTTAGTTTAAAATTTTGTTTCAAAAATTTAAGGGTTTATAAATTAAAAACTATTTTAAAAGTTATGTGACATCTATATCTTGTGTACGGAATGTATAAAGGAGATGGGTGTTGCATTTATTGATATCAGAGCTACAGGTTTAGCTGATTCTTGGTCGAAACCGTGTTTAATTAAATTATTAGATTATAAACTGTTCTAAAATAAAAGATTAATGGCCTAGCTATGTATTTGACATAAAGGTGTCAATTATGCCAGTTAGATGAAAGGTTAAATACCTTTGAGTAAAAGATTAATGACCTAGCTGTACATTTGACAGAAATGTGTCAATTATGCCAGTTAGATGGAAGGTTAAATACCTTTGAGTAAAAGATTAATGGCCTAGCTGTGCATTTGACAGAAAGGTGTCAATTATTCCAGTTTGATGAAATGTTAAATACCTTTGAGTAAAAGATTAATGGCCTAGCTGGGCATTTGACAGAAAGGTGTCAATTATGCCAGTTAGATTAAATACCTTTGAGTAAAAGATTAATGGCCTAGCAGTGCATTTGACAGAAAGGTGTAAATTATGCCAGTTAAATGAAAGGTTAAATAACTTTGAGTAAAAGATTAATGGCCTAGCTGTGCATTTGACATAAAAGTGTTAATTATGCCAGTAAGATGAAATGTTAAATACCTTTGAGTAAAAGATTAATGGTCTAACTGTGCCTTTGGTAGAAAGGTGTCAATCATGCCAGTTAGATGAAAGGTTAAATACCTTTGGGTAAACGACTAAATGTCTAACGGTGCATTTGGCAGAAAGGTGCCAATAATGCAAGTTGGATGAAGGACTAATTGATTAATAGTGCTAATTGATATGAAATGATGCCATAAATGGAAATGTATAACCAGACATAATTGGTATGGAAGAATGCTATATATATATATATAACAGTGCATAGTTGGCATGAAATGATGCCACAAATGAAAATACATAACGATATATTAATGGTATATAAGGTGCCACTCATGATAATTATAAAAGATAAAGGACTAATTAGCACTTTGATGCAATACATGTGCATTACTTTCTCATTTAACGTACATAGGACAAATAAAGAATAATTGGAAAGAATATATGGACGGATAGGTAGGCTGGACCTACTAAGAATAATTTTGATGAGTGTATAAAAAAATCTAGTTGAACTGAGAAGGATTTATTTGATCCTTATGGAATATGCGATTTAATTCGTCATTTAATAGTCATGAGATACGTAAAAGCAAAGACTAGTCAGATACGGGGTGCAATAGCAGCTATCATAAATCTAAGGTTGACTCTCATCAGTAACGGTAGGACAATCATGTTTATTTTGAACATTGTTGGCATGTAATCAAACTTAAGAAAAAATGCTCTGGAAAGTATATAAAGTGAAAATTTTGGTAGTATATTCCAACAACTGTTTATGATGGTACTAAAATGTTTTAGTTCAAAATTTTGAAATTTTTTTAAGGGTTTATAAATGAAAAACTATTTTAAAAGTGATGTCATATATATATCTCGGGTACGGAAATGTATACGGGAGATGGGTGTTACATATTTTATAACTCGATTTGAACTTGAAATTGTTTTTGAGTCGAGTCGAGTTTTTTCACCCCTAATCCAAGTATTAAAACTTTACTTTTACCTAATTTGTCTCATTATAAGTATAATCTAATTGTTTTGGATTAATTTTTAAGAGTTTAAATTTGATTTTACTTAATATAGATGTTGTCAAAACGCTTTTTTTCTTAAAGTGAGATTTTAAAAACCACACTAATTTTGAATTATCTCTTTATGATTAGTTTTTAATCAAAAGTAATGTGATTTTAAAAAAACCTCTCGTTTTGAAAATTTTGGGATTCCCTTTGAAATAGAAAAACGTATGGTTCGAGGAGTCTCCACCAATCTTTGATTAGGGTGTGATTGGGCACCCAAAAACATTTTGTCATTTTAATAAAAATATTAATTTTAATTAAAACGAAACATTTACAGTATGCATACCAGAAAATGAGTTTGGGAGTCGCTTACACGTGAGGAAGGATTAACACCCCCACAATGCCATAAATCGGTAATCAATCAATTAATTAATGTCTTTGCAACGAATGTTACAAATTTGAGTTTAATTTGATTTATGATCCCACAAAACAAAAAAATATGAATTTTAAAATGAAATATAATAATATTTAATTATTTCCTATCGAGAAGAACAAACCCCTCATACCTTGAGGCAATCAATTCTTACTCCAATCAAAATAGAGAAATATTATAATTTCATTATAGTATTCACATACACCCGAAACAAATTAAATTAAAATTACCAATCATTTTTAGAAAGAAGAAGGATATTCGATTATTTAAAAATATCGAGATTAGACCTTAGATAAGTTCTAACAATCTTTTCTCAAAAAAATTAAATAATCTAACATTTTTTTTCTTTCGTTCCCAAATTTTAAGTAATGAATCATTTTTTTAGGTTTCACTGTTAGGATACACTTTCAATTTAAAATTGTCAAAATTAGCTCTCTAATAAATTAAGACAAGCCCTTTAAAACAATTTTAAATTAAAAGAGTATTACTCTTAATCAGATTATGTATTTATAAGTCAAATTATGCACATGACGATACTATGCATATCACAACAATATACTAATTAATAAAATGATACAAAGAAAGTCAAAACAAATGTAAATATAGAAAATAATATAAAATATATTAAAAACCAATAAAATTTAGGGTTCAATTAAAAAAATATATATTCTACTGACTTTAAAAAAATGCTAATGTCCATAATGTTAATTTATTTTAAAAAAAAATAAATGAAAGTAAAATTTATAACTATTAATAAAATATATATACATATGTAACAAATTAAATCGAAACAAAGACTATTATATAATTTAATAATATATATGTGAAACCTATTGAATCGAAACACCAAACTTTATACACTAATACTATTATATACGTATTATCATGAAAATATATAAAAAAACGACATAATGTCTGAAATGAATAAGCTTATAACTCTAAGGCTAAGATCATAAATTAAACAAAAATCAAGTCATTGAACACAAATAATCACATTTCATGTACTAAAATCAAAATAAATCCATAATTGCATATAGGACTAAAATGTATATTTCATAAGGAACATACCAAATGTACGAATGAATAAAAATGCAAAATAAATGAATTTAGGGACTAAAATGAAACATGCTCAAGACTCAATGATTAAATCATACTTTCAAATACCTTGATTTGAGGACTAAAATACAACAGTTTAAAACTAGTGTACTTAACATTCTAATAACCCCTTTTCCCAAAACGCGGGTTAATCCAACCATCTAAACGCTACTGTTTTACCCAAACCATATATGTAATATTTTAGGTAAAAAATAAGTCCTAACCTCATTTTATCAGCCCTCAGCCACACACTAATCCTCTCTTTCTCTCTTTTTTCGACCCTTTAGGGTTTCTACACATCAGACGACTATCGAGGCTCGAAGTCTTCACGCTCACAACATCGACGGCTTCCTCAATTGGCCACCGTAAGCCTGTGGCAACTTTGCTCCGACTATCCCCTAAACCACCCGATGGAAACCCTAGGCCATCCTAAACAAACAAAGACACCTAACGGTGGCCAACTCTACCGAGACTCCTCAACTGAGACATACTCTCAATCGAGACTCACCTAAACCCCAAAATGAAAACACTTATTTCATGTCTAAACCCCCTCATCTCTCGATTGAGGAAAACCTAAAACCCCTTAAAAAAACTTTCAAACTCTCACAAATATAGACTTATGATTTACAGGAAAGGGGTTACCTTTAGTTCTTGGCTCTGATGAATGACAACTGCTTTCCTCGCACGAAATGATAAGGTTTTTTTCCTTTTATGTTTTTTTTATTTGTTGATAGAAAAAGTATCTGTTTGGCTCTCGTTTCTACTATTCAGATGCTATGTCTTTTATTTTTGTTTATTTCGAATGGATGTTAGAATGAAAAAAAAAATTCTCAAAGAATCGAGAAAAAACCCATTCAAAAACGAATTCTAGCTTTGTATTTTCTGTGTAAAAATGAGAGAAAGATTATATTGTTTTTCTTTAATACTCACAAAACAAATGGGAAAGAAAAGGACCCCTCTATTCACTCTAATTTTCTTTTCGAATAGGGTAGCCGAAGCCTCTGTTGTTGTTGAAAAATTCCCCCTAAACATACATTGCTACTTGGGTTTTATACCCCAATTTTACAGGGAAATTCCCCCAAAATTACTCATCCCTTTTCCTCCATTTTTACATAGATGTCCTTGCTAATAGGAAGGAATCCATGGCCGTTTTTCAGGTCGGTTACTGGTGGGACCTTGTTGATGGTTGGCACAGTATATTGAGGCACCTGAAGGGTGACGTGGAGGCTTCTAGACTCTTGGTGTAGCTATAAGATGATATCATTGAGAATTAAGACCCTAAATGCTTGGTCAAATCTGGACATTTAGATTCTCTTCATATCCAGCAGTTGATCTCTAGGCGGCGCTGGATAAAAAGGGGAGGGCTAGGGCTTCTCCCAATGGCCTAAACCTTGGTTTGTCTCCATTCTTGAGCCTACACTTGTTGGGCCAGCTGTATCTTGGGCTCTAACCGAATGGGTCTGCTCTGATTCGGGCCCCTGTTTGGGTCATGCATGTAAACTTTGACTTGTAAAAGTTGAATGATATCACTACCATTTTTATTTTGCTTACATAAATATGTAATATTTATAACCCCATGCGTTTATATGTATTACACACATGCATATATATATATATATATATATATATATATATATATATATATATATATGTCATACCATAAACATACATATGGAAACATGCATAATAAGATATGATAAGTAATATTAAACACATATAATTAATAATAATATATCATGGACTAAAAAAACTCGAATGAAATCCCGGACAAAATGAACATCTATAGCTACCCCTCTTTGCTCATTATCGTGCAAAAAGAATAGATCAAAGATCAAAGGATGGTCAAATTTGTCCGACTATGGTACATTCAAAAAGTTAATCCGCTCACTGCATCCTCTAGGTAGGTCGGAGTTGATTCTTTTTCGGGTATACAGATCTATTTTGGAAGACGATCTCCACTCTTCTTTCAGGGGATCTTAAACTCGATCTGCGACTCATTTTTGGTAAATAAATCAATACTGGAAGATGTGTCTGCTCCACTATTCATTCAGGGGAAATCAGACAGGAATTGTGCCTCTTTTTTAGGTATACAGATCAATGTTGGAAGACGTGTTTGCTCTACCATTCATTCAGGGGAAATCAAATTGGATCTGTGCCTTTTTTCGAGTAGACAGATCAATATTGGAAGATGTGTCTGCTCCACCATTTATTCATGGGAAATCAGATTGGATTTGTGCCTCTCTTTTTTTTATAGACAGATCAATGTTGGAAGACGTGTCTGCTTCACCATTCATTCAGGGGAAATTAGACTGGATCTGGGCCTATTTTTTGGGTAGACAGATCAATGTTGGAAGAAGTATCTGCTCCACCATTCATTAAGGGGAAATCAGACTGGATATGTGCCTCTTTTTTGGGTAGACAAATCAATGTTGGAAGACGTGTCTACTCCACCATTCATTCAGGGGAAATCAAACTGGATTTGTGACTCTTTTTTGGGTAGACATATCAATGTTGGAAGACGTCTATGCTCCACTATTCATTTATGAAGATGAGACATGGCATGTGCCTCTTCTTAGGGTAGACATATCAACTTTGGAAAATGTGTATGCTCTAATATTCATTCAGGGGAGATCAGACTCGATATGTGCCTCTTCTTCGGGTAGACATATCAACTTTGGAAAAGGTTTTCTTACTTTTCAAACATTTCATTTTCTGACAACACTGAATGAGAAACTTTTGGAAGTCGCTTCCTCATCATATGAAAACATCCTACCCGTATGTCTTATAGATGGCCTTAAGGACTTATCATCTTACTCGGAAGCAAGACATATGACCCGAAGGATTTAATCATCATGCTCGGAAGGCTTACTGATGGCTCGAAGGACTTACTATGTAAGAAACTTTGGAAATCATTTTCTTACTTTTCAAAAAAATTCCATTTTCTGACAACACTGAATGAGAAACTTTGGAAGTTGGTTTCTCATCATGTGAAAACATCCTGCCTATAGGTCTTATAGATGGCCCAAATAACTTATCATCTTGCTCAGAAGCCTGACATGTGACCTGAAGGATTTAAGCATCATGCTCGGAAGGCTTACTGATGGCCCGAAGGACTTACTAAGTAAAAAACTTTGGAAATTGCTTTCTTACTTTTCAAAGATTTCGTTTTCTTAAAACATTAAATGAGAAACTTTGGAAATAAGTTTCTCATTTTTCAAAAATAACTTAATGGTCAGGTAACATGCCCCCTTTAAAGTAATACTTCTTTTATGCATTGGCCCTTGTGTTCCTCAGGTTCTTCCTATTTAAACATGATTCCCTGTGTTTGAGGTTTGAATTCTTCTTTCCAACTTTTCGGGCTTTTGACATCATGAATCTTTTCTTTTCACTTGAAGATCTTTAAAAACCATGTGTTTAAATGCAAATGCAATTAAATGTATTAATGTCATGCATTTTATTCTCCATTCCTTCTAATATCTCGGACCACTTGCTTCTAATAGGGATATATGCCCCTTTCAAATAGGGCGATCAGCTGTTTCTCGATGGGATACTGACAACATCACGAGAAAGTGTTACAAGTTTTATTCTCCATTCCTTCTAATATCTCGGACCACTTGCTTTCACTATTATGGAATGCTTCATTATTCTGGTATCGTTTATTCTTTTTCAATATAGGCAAAATAAGTTTCACCAGCTTCAAGGACCTTTCACATTTGAGATTGTCTTGTTTGGAAATGTTTCTCCCCTTTATCTTATTTTAGGGATAAAAGAATGAAAGAATTTTATAAAACATTGCCCCTTAATTCAGTCTCACAATCAAATCAAATCATAAACATAAGTTCACAAAATATCAAAAGAATCAACAACTCTTTTAATATTTTCAAAGTTATAGCTATTTGACAAGTGTCAAAATGGATGGGTTAGCTTCAGTTTGGTTTCCTATTTTCTAAGGTTTAGGCCACCAAAATGTCATTTCTTTCTCTGTCGTTGTGAACATCGTGACATGCCCCTCTTTCTTGGATTGGTATTTTAATAGGATGTGGACAAAATGACGTAACTAGCATAATCAATTACTAGACTTTCTAGAACACTTCTATTTCAGTTCTTTGAAATCTTCCATTTGTCAATCTTTGTAGACTTCTCTAACAAAGGCAGTGTAGAAATATCGATCTAAAAATTAAATTCCTGAGTGCTTGTGTGAAATTGACTATAACAGGCATTCCTTAACTCCCTTAGTTAATCTTTATCGAAACTCCTTATTTAGATAAATTTGATTTAATTTGTCATTGTTTGGCTAGCTGAATTTAGCTTTATTATAATTTACCTTTATCAGGCTAGCTGAATCTTATCCATAAAGCTGAGGCGTTTAACCAATTGCTCTAGAGGGACAACTCAAGCTTAATTTTATATATATATTATAATCATTTTTATCTGGCTAGCTGAATCTTATCCATAAAGCCGGGGCTTTTAACCAATTGCTCTAGAGTGACAGCTCAAGCTTTACTTTCCAAGAAGAACATGTTATAATTACATTATGGGTATACGGATTCAATTTCTTAAGCTTGTCAAGAAGAACATGTTATAGTCTAGGTGTTGTTTAAAGTCAAGAAAATCTCATCTTTAGAGTTCACTTTCCAAGCAACTGACCTAAAATAGATTCACCTACTTGACTATTCCATCTGTAAAGATCATCATCATCATTAAACATTATCAACAAAAGTATGGTCTAGTCAGTTTTGTAATGGCATACACAAGAGATACCCCATGTTGTCCGCTCCTATGCATACCTGAATATCAAGCCTCTTGTTCATTCCCTTATGAGATGAGAAGGCTATATCGGTCCCTACAAGAGAAGGGTATGTTGTTCGAGATTATATTCTAGGGGTAAGGTTCATGGTCCTTGTTTTATCAGTTTTCAATCATGTCACTTTGTCAAAGACACTCTAATAATTTAAAGTGTTTTTAATTCAGTTGATATTCAAAGAATCTCAAGTTGTAAATTTGATTCAATGCTCACCATCTTTAAAGTAGCATGAGTTCATTTAAATATCATTACAAAAAACCAAGAAAGGATAAAAAAACAAATTCAAACATGATATTGCAAATGGAATAAAGCTTCATGATGAAATGAAATGATCTCTTCCTAATTAGGATGCCCTATTACTCATATAATGTAGCAACAACTACTTAACTGGATAATACATATTGTGCTTTGATGCCCCACTCGAGCTCGTCATCCAATGTTCCACCAATTCTTGTGTTAACGTCCTGTTTTCAACAAACATCTCTATCTCCTTTAATAGCAGCCTACAATTCCCATTTGAATGCCCCAATGCCCCCAAGTGGAAATCACAGACACTATCTTGATCATACCTGTGGGCAGAAAGGTCTGGTTGCACTTTCTTTGGCCTCAATGTGAGGTATTGACCTTTAATCAAATGGGTACAGATCTGAGATAGAAGTTTGGAACAATTTCAGAGTATTTCTCGATCGTGGGACTTTCTTTGGTCTGTTCGAGCCACTAACTGCTTTTTTTCATTTACGGTTGTGGGATCTGGGCGTAACATTCATTCACTTCATCAGGTTTTTTTCCAACATGATCTCTGTCACATTTTCTGGAGTGGTACCCAATCCTTGGAGTTGACTTGGATTACCATCTCCCCAACAGGTTCTTGATCATCTGCTGTCATCACATTGGCTACATAATCAACATTATAAATTTCACTCGAAATATTTATCTTTTCTTGGATAATAGGGTTCTCTAATGATTTCTCCCCATATATCACTGTAACCATCATGCTCATAAAATTGGACATATGTTCTCGGGATTCAGCTTGGAACTTTCTCTCTTCATTAATCATTTCTTATTGGATTCTCTTGATATTATTAATACACGTTAATATCTCATTCCTCGTTTTTTATCTTTCTATAGAGACACTCCAAGTAACTTCAATTTGCTTTTAGAGCTTCTCAAATCAAATTGTGTTAATGTTACTATTTTATTAATAAATATGAAATATATGACTATGAATGAATAAAAATGCAATATAAAATTAAGATGCATTGTGAAAAGTAAAAATGCATATGCAAAATGCAGGGTGTTGATCCTGAAACGACTCTTTAGAACAACTTTTTATATTAGGAATGAAGTTCAACTACAAGGTTCAAACATATCACATATAGATCTACATTACTTCTTTTAATTGATGCATATGTGTCAGCAGCTCCATAATCTTCTGGGCTTCTTAAGAGACTTTTTACAAAGCTCGCCACAATATGTCACCATCCCTGATATTCTTGAAGATAACCATCCATTTCTCTTCGGTGAAACCCCCGGGCCATTCTTTGGAAAGGAAATCTTTTAAAGGCGAAAACACATCCAGAAACACTTGTCACGCTGCTCTTTCAACATGCTTGAAGTGATTAAGGATCCATACTAACAACAGGGGTGCATATCCTATAGATTGTCCTTCTCATTCTCTTCTACAATAACTCAAAGAACGAAACATCTTGGCTAAAATGGCTGGAACGGGATAAACATGCTTATCTA